CACCTTTTATCCTCCCAGCTATTGGTTAAATAGTAAGAATTGTATCAGAAAAGCTTTATTACCCACCAAAAAACTCTTATAATCCCAAAATATGTTTCGTTATTAAACAACCTTAAAAATGTTGATAAACCGTAAAAAACAAATCAATCAATGCTTTTAGAAAATTAAAACAAAATTGTAACATGGTCATAATTTGCAACATGCAAAAAATTGCAACATGGCCATAAAGAACTTGTTTAAACTTCCAGTTGGCTGCAATTCTATGTTGCTAAATTCGATGTTCAAATGGTTAAGACAATGGGGTTAAAAGTTACGAGGAAATTGACGATTGATTTTAATTAATATAGCATATTAACCACATTTTTCTCCCCCCACAAATCCCCCAAAAGTTAGAATTTCATAAATTCCTAATAAAAGCTTGAAAAAAGAACTTGTGTGATTCTACGCAGCAAGTTTTCATTCAGATTTTATTAAAAATAACAGACAAATTATTCCTATCAAATATATATATATATATATTATAATAAATAGAAAGAACAGTAAGATATATAATCCGGTGTTGTTATTGATATTTTTATTTTTACAAAATAGTGCTCAATGTAAATTTACAGAGCATAAATATTATAAATCAACTGATTTAAAATATGGTTTCTTCGCTACACAGGAATTACCATGTTTCAAAAACCGAAGCTAAAAACTTTTGGAAACAAGAAATTATGAATTATATGTGCGTTTAAAACTCAGTAAATTTAAAAATAAGTTATTCCAAAATTCGCTTGAACATGAAACAGAACTAATGCTTTTAATTTAATTATATAATTAAATTTGAAGTTTTTTAGATTCGGTTTTTGAAATATGGTAATTCCTGTGTAGCGAAGAAACCATATTTTAAATCAGTTAATTTATAAATCAGTTTATATATATATATATATATATATATATATATATATATATATATATTATACACTTGTGTATTTCGGCAGCAATCATTCTTTCAAACACATTTCATTGAATACGACAGACAACGTGCTTTGATTTAGTTTTTATATAATTTCTCATGTAAATGGCTAAATGTATAGCCAAATGCGCTCGGATAAAAAGAACAATTGGACAGTTTTTATATAATTTCTCATCTGAAAAAGAAAAAAAATTAATCACATGAGAAATTGTATAATAAACTAAATCAAAGCATCTTGTCTGTTGTATTCAATGAAATGTGCATATATATATATATATATATATATATATATATATATATATATATATATATATATATAAGCAAATATATGGATATAGATCCGACAGTATGAAGAAAAATATACAGAAAAAACAAACAAAAATCTTAATATGCAATTATATTAATAATTAATATATTAACATTAATACAGCATAATTGCATATTAAGATTTTTGTTTTTTTTTCTGTATATTTATATATATATATATATATATATATATATATATATATATATAATCGACTCTCCCGTCGCGTTCGACGTATGAGGGTCAGGCCGATAAGTCCCCAGGAAACTGACATCCCGACACCGGCACATGAGATTTGATTATAGTGGTGAAGGCCTCGTGCAGGACCAGCCACACTTTTTGGAGGGACGAATACAGAAACCTGGTGCACCGAATGCATGCCACAAGGTTCCCAAACGACCCTCCGCAGGTTTTGAATTCAGAGTTGTCCTTCTCCTAGACCAGTTGCCATCCAAGGCTATAGAACCCAGTCTGTCCTGCTATTTTACCCATAGCTGGAGGGAGATGAAGAGGATACATACTTTTCCCAAGGGTATTAGCACGTAAGTGAATGTAGTGGATTCGACTGGAATATATATATATATAATAAAAGATTGGTATAGATGGAATAAAATTCCAGTAAACAAAAACACTATTTTTAACAAAAAGTGCTCAATACAAAGTAGAGTAAATATAAATTTCAAAAATTAGCAGAATAGCCAATCACGCTGCTATAGTTTCAAACCTTAGGTATCCTCAGGTGATATAGATTTTGAGAATACCTAAAGGTTAAAACCATAGTAACGTGATTGGCTGATTTCCTTTTTTTTTAAATTTAAAAGCTCTGCACATTAAAGTTTTACAACTGTTTTCTGGTGTAATTTAACTCTGACCAATAACTGTTTTATGATTATTAAAAATGTATTGGCGTTTTTATTCACAGAATAAGTACGTAAAAATTCGCCTTTCTTTCAACCAGCTTAGTCGGAAAATCTCCGTCTGTTGCTACATTAGCCGGGTTTCGATCCCGGCTTGAAGCAATCGGATATCTAGCCACACTGATGAGCTGTGATACAGAGAAACAGTCTGTATGCTGATGACAACACACACACACATATATATATATATATATATATATATATATATATACAGTGTAACCCGGATATAAGAGAAACCCGGATATAAGAGAGATTTCCTCTGGTCCCAAATTAGAGCCTGTGTTAATGTATATAAAATAGACCAAACCCGGATATAAGAGAACTTCTTCTCCGGTCCCGACAACTCTCTTATATCCGGGTTAGACTGTATATGCACCCACACAGTGTGAGGCAAAAGTAGCCCATCATAGGTCACAAGCTTGGGATTTTTTCTGTGGTACCATTTGTTTATTGGACGTACTCAATAAATATTGAGGAACTTAAAGAAAGAATTAAATATGAATGCAGTAAAATGAAACTCTCCAACGTGCTAATGAATAATTCAGTCACAGAATTGAAATCTGTTTTGGAAAAGGAGGAAGACATTTTGAACAACACATAACAATTAAATAACTAGTAAATAAAATTGCACTTTTAATAAATTGTCCCTGTGTTTCGTAACATTTTCTCCACCTTGTATATATGGTGATTTTCTAAGCGTAGCTTAACTATGGCACAAGGCCCGAAGTATGGTCATAATTGTTCAGGCAAAATATGTTTGCTAAACATTACACCACGTCGAAGTGCTCCATATATATATATATATATATATATATATATAATCCTACTGAGCCAGAAACTACCTACGTAGATTTCACCTAAATGGATCTTCATTTGTACTAAGCTAAACTCAGTAAATATGAAAGAACTATAAGCAAGAAGGGATAAGTGTAGTTATAAAGTAATCTAAACGGAAGTAATTACTTCCACTGGCTGAACTCTTCCGATAAGGTACGTAACCCAGCCTTTTGGAGGACGCAAAACCTAGGTTGAATAAAGCTCAACAATCTAATATCATTTTTATTTTATTTATTTATTTTGTTTTTTTTACAGAGAATTTATGATTTTATGAAAAAGAGACTAGGAAGAAAAGAATAGAAGAAGAAAGACAAAAATGCTGATGAGCTGATAAAATACTCGAGACACAAATAATTACCTCCCTTAGTAGAACTCTCCCTATATATGGGGATTTTCTAAGCGTAGCTCAGATGTAGAACAAGGCTGGAAGTTTTGGGCATCCAGTGAGATTTGAACTCACTTTTCAGCCGTAATTCATCTTGCAAGATAAGCTTGTTAACCATTACACCACACTGAAGTGTTCCTTGTGATATTCTAAGCGTAGCTTAGATGTGGCACAAAGCCGAAGGTATGGAGCACCCTGTGAAGATCGAACTCACTATTCAATCGTAATTGATCTAGCGAAACAAGCTTGCTAGCTTATTACACCACGTCGAGGTGTTCAACTCGACCTATATATGAATATGTAACCAGACACCTTTTAGTGGATGGAAAGTTCTGCCGAGGCGATATCTGTATCAATAAAATGTTTTTAACCAAACGATACGGTACAAAAGAAAAAATACACGACAGGCTAAAATTATATGAAATATTTATTTCATAAAATACAGTAAAATAAATAAAAGTCTGGTTATCGGAAAAGAACAACTGTTAATAACAGAGCCAGAGTTCAAAAGTTTACGTTTCTGGACAAAGAAAATTGCTACTTACTGACCAGCTGGAGAGGAACGTTCCCATTAGGGCTGTGACCCAACGCATAAGTGAAGGAAAAGAGAATGGTTTTCTTTCAGAAAGCTTACAGGCGTCCATCAGCTGCTGCTGTTGCTACTACGAATCTCCTCTCCAGCCAATTGTATGCCGTGGTCAAAACTCGCTAGAATAGCTTTGCAAGCAGTTTCTTTTTCTAATAGTTTTTTACAGAGAAAATTTATGATGAAAAGAACAGGAAAAAATAATAGATGGAAGAAGATAAAAATGGTGTTGTAAAAGAATAAGACTAAAAGTAACAACGACAGAAAGAAGAAACACGGGGAAAGGATGAAAGAAAGATAATAAATAGAGGGTATATTTTTGAGATCAGAATCTGAAGAAGAGAAAAGGGGCAGTAATAAACGTAGAAGGAGAAGGAAGAGGAGCAAAAAAAAATAAATCAGAGTACTGATGAGAGTGGGAGTTATAGATTGTTTGATTGCCAGAGTTATATATTCATCACCAGCATCTTAAATCAGTGTTCGAGTCTAGACAAAAAAAAAACAGAAAATCAAATGCTGATTTCCAATGCAATAGCCTCCCTCTCACTTGGCGTTACATAATCTTCATACTCCTTTTCACATTTGACTATATTTCATTCTAAATTACAAATTTTGTTTTGTGACTGAAATACAAGCACTGGCCGGAAAGTATCCTGTTATTTTAAATAATTCAAGAATCTGTTGGGCGGCTCTGATATAATTTAGCAACCAATCAGAGATACCTTACAACAAATACATGATCAGATACTCTCCCCTATGGTTACTCAGTCGGCAATGAGAAGCCATAGAGTGAAGTGTATACTGTGTGACCACCGTATTCACAATAACAGGGCAAATAAATTCCTCGTGTTTCGTACAATAAAGGCAACTGATAGCAATCCCGAAAAGGGACTTGGAAGACCTTTTTGGAATTGGGATAAGTGTATGACGTTCTAAGTGGATAACTTTGAATAGGACTAAGATATCATTGTCTTAGGTAGGCTAGATGCTTTCTAGACACTGCTTGTATTTAT